TTCCTCCTTGATGTCTTCTAAAACCCATTGATCACTCAGCAACCTATTGTTCATTCTCCAGGTGATGCTTGCTTTTTCCTTTCTTCTTTTATCATTGATTTTCAGTTTCATTCCATTATGATCAGATAAGATGCATTAGACTTGCTGTATATCATCCCATGTCTTCTTGCCTTTAAAGTTTCTGTTGAGAAATCTATTATTCTGATGGGTTTGCCTTCATATATGACCTGGAACTTCTCTCTTGCAGCTTTCAATATTCTTTTTTGTTTTGTATTTTGGGCAGTTTAATTATGTTTTATTGTGAAGAGGTTCTTTTCTCATCATGTCTATTTAGGTTTCTAGATGTCTTCTGTTCCCAGGCATCCATATCAATCCCAAGATTTCAGAAATTTTCTATTATTTCACTGAATAAATTGTTTTTGTCTTTAGCTTTTACCTCTGCTCCTTTATCTGTTCATGGGATTGGTACATTTTGGTCTCTTTTTTTTGTGGGGGCGGGGGCGTGTACTGGGGAATGCATTCAGGGACATTCAACCACTGAGCCACATCCCCAGCCCTATTTCATATTTTATTTAGAGACAGAGTCTCACTGAGTTGCTCAGTGCCTTGCTGTTGCTGAGTCTGGCTTTGAACTTGAGATCCTTCTGCCTCAGCCTCCCAAGCCACTGGGATTACAGGCATGCATCATCACACCATCTACATTTGGTCTTTTATTCATGACCCATAGGTTTTGTATGTCCTGTTCATTCTTATTTTTTTCCTGATTACTGTCTGAATGTATAATTCATCAGGTTTATCTTCAAGTCTTAATTTTTTTATATCACTTGATCTAGTCTGTTATTGAGGTTTTCAGCTAAATTTTTTATTTGGCTTGTGATGCTTTACATTTTTTAAGATTTATGGGTTTTATTTTGTTTCAGAATCTCTCTCTTTTTAAAATTGCTCTTCATATTCTTCATTTTCTTCCTTAACTCATTAAACTGTTTATTGATATCTTCTTTAAATTTAATGATCCTTTTAACATCATTTTTAAAATTCTCTGCCATTTCCTATACTTCAGTATCTTTAGAATCAGTTATTCGAGAGTTATCAGATTTTGGAGAAGTCATGATGTCTCATTTTCTTGTGTTTCATTTATATCTAAGTTAATATTTGCCTATCTATTGGGATTTATGTATCTTCTATTTTTATGGGAAGGTCTTCTTAGAGAATAGCCTTCTGTTAATTATGTGCCCTAGGCTATCAGTTTGTTGTGTACTATTGAATTTTATTACAAATGTATTTAGTAGTATAGTTTTCCCATGGCTTAGCTGATTGTGATTGGTGAGATTGGATACAGTGCATACTATTCGAACTTGAAGGACCTGCTTCCCCTGTAGGTCTTGAAAGAATAGGGGTCCCCCCATAATTTAGGCTGGTGTATTGTAGAGAGCATAGTATACTAGGTGCACCTTCTGTGGTAATTCTTCCTGTCTTGTCAACAATGTGGTATCCACAGTAATTGTGTCATTATTCTCTGCCTGTTGCTATGGGATTGAGTTGTCAAAAGTGGGACCTCAGAACCCTTCTTTTACGAATACAGAAGGCTGAGTCATTGTTGGGGGATGGGGGCTTCTGTCTCTTCAGGCCATGTATTTATTTATCCTAATTTAAAGCATTCATTAAGGTTTGAATGAGACTAGGTCATGGTTGGAGTTTCTCTCAACTATGCTCTGAGAGTATCTCAGAGACAAAGCCCCTACCCACATGCTTGGGGTGCCATGCTTGAGTCAGAGCTCCACTCACAAAGAAGAAAAAAAAGCAATAATAATACCCACAATATAAAAACAAACCAAATATCAAAATACAGTAACAATAAATTGAAAACAACTGCAACACCAGTAGTAATAGAAAAGAACGGGACAAATATACTACAGAATAAACTGAAAAGTTAAAATAAAAAGCAAAATTCAAAAAGAAGGAAAATGAGAGAGTATAAGAGAAATCCTATTTAATATAATAAAAATAAGATTAAAAGGTCATGAAAAAACAGCAAAATAATATAATATAGAATAGACAGAGGGGAAAATATGAGTCAAAAATTCTTCCTAGCAGAGATGTGTGTTTGGATTTGAGAACTTATTCCTAGACATGTGCATACTTTCTCCAGAGGCCCTTATCCTGCATGCCTGGTGATGTGGTTGATTCCTGAGCCACAGAAAATCTTTCTTATTAGCTGAGCTTTTTGGCATTATGTGGGCCATGCCAGATGGCTATATATTTAGCCCCATGGATTACAATCTTTGCTCCTAGCAGCATGGAAAATGTCCAAGGCTGGTGCACATCCAGGATGCTTCAGAGTGTGGGGGGGAATAGTCAAACCAGCAAGTTCTACACTGGAGATGGAGCCACAGAAATTGAGCAGTTTGCCACCATTGGTCTCAGCACTCTCAGACCTCATTCCTTCATGACACTACTTATGACCTGATAAAGATCATCTAAAAAATACCCCAAGAGTGTATATCATGATTAATGATGATTCTATGAAAGTATTCTTATTAAATACCAGAATAAAACTGCTATTACTCTGAGTATTACATTTAAGTTGGAGGTTTTATTAAATGTGAAAAATAATAATGAAAATAAAAAATGGTAGATATGAAGAAAATAAATTTGGAGTTTCTGCATAGAAAATTAAAAAACATAAACACTGGAATTAATGTTGGCAAAATTGCTTATATAAGATTGACATGCAAAACAATTTCTATTTTTAGGGTAATAAAATATYTATAATTATAAACAAAATTAGTTTGAACTAATCACATTGTCTGTGTAAGATTTAATATTAATTAATATTTTTTTAAACAGACACATCTACCTTGGATTGCCAGCAGCACTAAGAGGATTAAGTTTTATTCCTGCCTTTTTGATCCTGATTCTTTTGAGAAAGCGTCATCTACCTGGTGAAAATGACCCTTCAGKAACTGAGCTTGCAGTGACGAAGATTACAGAGAAAGAAAAAGAATGCAAAGATGTTCAACAAAATTCCAAGGTTTTGAATGATGAAGAAATGAAAACTAAACTATAGTGTCCAATTCTATCAGCCTTCCCAGAGGTGGAAAACACAGTATAAAACTTAATTGTTTAAGAATCATTAGAGGTACTGCAGGTAACTTTTCTTATCTTTAAGAACTTGCTCATGGTGAAAGTGTTCACTATATGTCTGAAGTATCAGAACAGCACTTGAGATGTTTTAGGGGAGACATTTATGACAACCACTAAACAGGATTTTAAAGCCACCTTTACTTTTTATGTTAAAGCAACAATTTCTCTTTTAACTCATTCAAAGAAAGGGTCTGTTTTCTACATCTCCTTTTCCAACTAGTTCTAAAATTTTTCTATTCTAAAAATATATTTAATGCTATCAAATTTGTATATTGGGGTTATTCAGAGACTGAGATTTTCATCCTTTCACGTGAACTTGAAATATTTTATTCACATTGATTACTTTCATGTGAAGTAAGCCTACAACTTTTTAGTATATTTAGTAATTGTTCTTTGATATTTCTATTCATTCCAGATATGGATTTTCAAAGTAGATTGCTCATTACTGTGTCATCTTTTGTTATCAATTCTCTCCTTTATTACTCACGTCATATATTTGCTCATTTTGTTCAAAATACTGACAAACATAATCAGGTTATTAAAAATTATGTAGTGAAGATGGTTGGAATTTTTTTCAGCAATTTAAATCCAACAACTCAAGTCTTTTTAAAARTAAGTATCTGAATGAAAGGATAGAAGGATATTATGAGAAAAATAGCTCTTACAGACCACTTGTAGTACCAGATATTGTCAAAGGACTATTTTCCCAGGTTCAGGAGGCTTTTGTAGATCAATGTTTGTTATTGATTGGATCCTAAGTTAGAACACAAACATTAATTTCCAAAACTTATCTGGGAAAATGATACTTTTGAAAAGTAGCTTCTTTTATGAAACTGAAGTCAATAAAATTCAACATATCCATGAAAAACTAAACCTCTTCATATTATTTCTAATTTATGAATAAAAATAATGAAAAGATTTTAGAGGGCTGGGGTTGTGGCTCAGCGGAAGAGCGCTCGCCTAGCACTTGCAAGGCCCTGGGTTCGATTCTCAGCACCACATAAAAAAAATAAACAAAATAAAGGTATTGTGTACAACTAAAAAATAAATAAATAAATAAAAAGATTTTAGAGGTACATGAAAACTTTTTAATAATATAGGGCTCTGGTTCAAAACAGTAAATGAACATATTTGTCTATTCCTCATTCTGCCTCAATTTTAAATGAAAGTCAAAATCCCTAATGGTAGAGAGATTGTAGGAAAGAAGGGTGGGAGAAGTGAGTGTCAATACACTGTGATCATTTGTGTTGAATATAAAGGAAATGAGAGTGTCCATAAGGAATAGAGTGGAAGAAGGTATAGGAATGTTAAATGCACTTAGAAGGAAACTGGAACTTAGGTAGGAGATTCTGAGTTGGTAACTGGACAGTGTGTTATTATAAGAAATATATAGGTGCCTGTTACTATAACAAATATCTAGGATAAACCAACTTAAAAGGTTGGAAAATTTGATTCACAGAATCAGGAGTTTCAGCCCATGGTCAACTGATGCTATTGTAATGGGCCTGTGGCAAGGGAACACCTCAGGAACCATGTTGAAAAGAAGCTACTTACCTTGTGTTATCTAGGAAACAAAGAGACAGGAAAGGTTTAGGGTCCTAATAGCTCCTCCAAGGGCACAACTCCAATGACCTAACTTCCTCCCACTAGGCCCCACCTCTTGAAGGTTCTGCCACTTCATATTATCAAACTCAGGACCAAGTTTTTAACACATGGGTCTTTGGGGGACACTCCAGATCGAAACTACAGCAGAAAACAAGCCTCTTAATTGAAGGGTTTTCTACAGAATTTTGTAGACTAATATGACTTCTTAAATGAGTGTGTCCTTTAAAAAGAAAGAAACTGAGATGACAAAGACTGGGTAGAACAGGTTAAAAGTTAAATTTTAAGCTTGTGATTTTTTTCAGACTTCACACATCTGATGCATTAAAAGTATCTGAGATTCAAGACAGAAATAGTGTTGAAATATGAGAGAGGATCTAAAATCTATGGATAAGAGGTGTATAATTTTGGAGTTTGTATGACTACAGAAGTGAAGGGTACTATTACAGGCTTATGACATGAATGGCTTTTTTTTTTTTTTTTGTATGTGGGAAAAATAGTCGGAAGCTGAAATGAAGAGCAAGGACTTTTACCCTGTATCTAGATAGTTGTGAGAAAAAGTAAATAGCGCTTGCATGAGAAGGTTTTGAGGGGAGCAAATTTTTCTTAGATGTGCTCTGGTGAAGAGAATGTTCATTCAGGAGTTTGAGTATAAACAGGACTGTGAGATCCTGAGAACACAGTGTAAAAAGTGAGTGAGTACTTAGAATTCTGGGGTTTCTTAATTGAGTTACATGAACGGGAACAAAGAATAAAAATGAGATTAGTTCTGATGGATTCAAGGCAGATAGTGTTGATGACAATGTGAGGGTCAAAATTAGGAGGAGTGGCACCTAGGTCCCCTCATGACCCTTCATCATGGAGGCAAACTAAAGAAAAAGAAATTTATTGGGAACACCTTGATCCCTATTGAGAGGTTTGACATGATCAAAGAAAGCTGAGTCTTACTCTGCTCACAGTTTACCCATTTGAATTTCTTCACTGGAGCATTATAGCTCAGAGAGACATGGATCTAGACCTAGTGCTTTGGGTTCACTCCTAACCCCTCATGGGGGAGATAGTATTTCATGAGGGAGATAGCACAGGGTCCTCCCCTGACACTTGTTTGACATTTCTCCCTTGATGGGAGCAAGCAGACCAGAGAGAGTGGGTGTTGGAGTGCGTGGGGATCTCTCACGACCTTTGTTGTGGCATCTCTGAGGCCTCAGAAGTTCTTGTTCTGAAAACTGGCATTATCCCATAAGAGCAGAGATTATGTCACAGCAGACATATTTGTAGGAAAGCTACAAGAGAACAGGCCATGAGAAGTCTAGGGCTATAATTTTCTTATCTAATATTGTAGAGAAATCTAAAGTTAAATAGTATTAGAAGTAGTACTTTATATATCTATCATCTTTCTATTATCTATTGGTACTAAGGACTGAATTTAGGGGTGCTTTATCACTGGGCTACATCCCTAGCCCTTTTCATTTTTTTAAATTTTATTTTTGGGGAAGTGTCTCACTAAATTGCTGAGGCTAACCTTGAACTGGCAATCCTCCTGCTCAGCCTCCCATGTCTCTGAGATTATAGGTATGTTTGACCGTGCCTGACTAATGTATGATATATAATTCTAAATGTAACCAATATTTACAGGATCTTAAAAAATTAACTTTGGAAATCAAAAGTTGGGGAAAGAAATACAAAAGGAAGAAGAAGGAATAACCATTCCTTATAGTTATAACATAGATTTAAATGTTTCTTGACAAATTAAAATTTAATGGGTACACATATTAACATTATGAAGCTCACTAGCAGAGGAATTAAAAACAAGACTACTTAAAAGAGATGTCTCTGGGGCATTGGACTCATTATGAGGAGGGTCAAAGAATAAGGCATTTATCTTTCAATTTTAGTTTCCTATATGTTCTTTGAGGTTTTGAAATAATATTTCATAAAAAGTACACATAGTTAAAACAATAATAATAAAATGAAACTAGGTTTCCAAATTATTAGATTTTGAGGATCTCCAATGAGTGTTTATGAAACAATTACTTTCTCATTTCTCTACATGGATATATAGAGGATGTGTGTTTTAATGGTGTATTCCTGAGGAAGGTAGTAACCAAGTTATAGGCAATAAAGTTCAAGTACAATTCAAGTTGGTGTCATTTCATTAAAGTCAATAAATATACAATGAAAACAGTTACAAAAAAAGTACTAGGTAATTTTATACACTATGGATATGTGGTGATTTCCTGCTTTTGCATAAGCTACCAATGCAAGTGTTGATGGGAAATGATGGAGAGAAAGAAAAAACTCTAATTCTTATTGAGGGAATAACAGAACCAAATACAACAATGTTTTCTTTGCTGGTGACTGTAGTTGTAGTGAGTATAGTTTAAGCCAATTAGATATTGGCAGAGGTTTGCAAATTGTTCTGATCTAAAAAGACTAAGCTTTCTGAGGAGACATTTTGCCCTTTTTCCTTCTTCCTTCCTGAACTGTGGATGTTAACCTTTTAGAAGCAGCAGGCATTTTGCACACCGGAGGCAATAAGTACAGGTATGAAAGAACAACATGAAGGATGGGGTAGCAGGAAGACAGCTGGAGGCTGGACACCCAGTGCAGGGCTAAACACCTGCACCAAGGCAGTACTAACTATTACACCATTTTAGGTTTATAAAATTTGAAGGGAGAACTTACATAAGAAAAAAATTGAAAATTGTGAATACATAATGGGGTTAAAAAGTAAATATTAACTTAGTATGAGAAAAAATATAACAAATTCCATGTGATATGTTTCAGGACACAATCATGACCACCAAACCAAACCAAACAAAAAAACCTACACCACACTTAGGCTCTATTAGGAGCTTTGCTGTTGATATCAGGAGTGAGAAGACAGTATCTGCTATACCATTTCCARTCTACCTTATATTGTATGTCCTAGCCAGGAACCAAGAGGAAAAAGGATTAAAATTAGTGAGGATTAAAAAAAAAGTAAAATATCAGTGGCATTACAGTTTGAGTATGTAAAAAAATCCAAAAGTTGCTACAGATAAACTATCACAATTAGTAAGTTAATTTTAACAAGTTAACTAGCTACAAAGGCATACAAAATCAAATGTATTTTTGTCATATATCAATACTTAGAAAATGATACTAGTAAATCATAGTTATGTAGCATAAAACGCACACACGGGTTCCTCCTTCCAGCGTTCAGAGCGGAGGGCGGCAAGGCTGGTGTCGCCGCCGGGTGAGTGGGGCGCTCTGGCTACTGCATCTACTTCAACTGCAAAAGGCGGAGCGACCCCAACTTCAAGAACAGGAGTCGGGAAC